GAGGGAAGGTTTAAGTTGGACATCAGGAGGCGCTACTTCACGGTCAGGGCGGCTAGGGTCTGGAACCAGCTTCCAAGTGAGGTGGTGCAGGCTCCCACCCTGGGGGTTTTTAAGAGGAGGTTGGATGACCACCTTACTGGGGTCATTTGACCCCAGTACTCTTTCCTGCCATGGCAGGGGGTCGGACTAGATGATCTGCTCAGGTCCCTTCCGACCCTAGAAACTATGAAACTATGAAACCTGTTCACCAGAGCACCCCAGGGGATAACAAGGTCCAATGGTCACAAACTCCTGCAAGACTGTTTTAGGATGGACATGAGGAAAAACTTCTTTACTGTCCAAGCCCCCAAGGCCTGGAACAGACTCCCCCCAAAGGTGGTGCAAGCTCCTACTCTGGATACTTTCAAGAAACATTTGAACACTTATTTTGCTGGGATCCTTTGACCCTAGCTGACTTCCTCCCCCTTGGGCATGGGGCTGGACCCAATGATCTTACGAGGTCCCTTCCATCCCTAATGTCTATGAAATCTATTAAATCAAAGGCCTATGATGAAGAGTAGGAACCCCCCTCCTCCTCTATGAATGATTAGGCTAAAACAGTTGAAGGGGAATCTCTATGAACTTATCCTTCCCTAACTTGTCCTCTGTTCATGGATAAAGATGGTTTAGGCCACAGGCATCAAACAGTTCTACACTATGTTCCCCCTGGAGACATGTGGAATAAATGCCTTTAGTGTTTTATTCTTTATCTTTTGAGGAAATGGTGTAAGGAAAGAACTATGGATTAAATGAAATGGCAAACTCTGCCCAGGGAGCTGGTTGTAGCAAATTTGGGCATTTGTATACATGTTTGTACCACAGTGCTGGGTGCTTTTAAAAGCACCTGGAGCTACAGTGCATCCATTTGTATAAACAGGGAAACGGACATCAGTGCTGAGAAAATGTTGGCGGTTTTGAACTAAAACACATCGAAGGTGTTTTAGGTAAAAAATGCACTGCTGCCATTTTCTCAGCGCTGATGCACATTTCGCCATTTATACAGATGCATGTGACACAGCGCTAGGTGCATCAGCTTGCATGAGGAGCAGACTCAATTAATTGAGCCTGCTCAGATGCACCGGAGCAGACACATACATGTATGTGTATAAATGCTCTACATGTCTGAAACAGGCGTGAAAATGCAACTAAAACATTTAAAGGAATGAAAGGGCCTATTAGGAAATTGTTCAAAGGCCTAAATTAACACATGCATGCAGAGTGCCACACTTATTTTAGGAGAGACTTCAAATTTTCATTTAGGGACTAACAGGGTAG